AATCTATTGGGATCTATGCTAAAACTGACATCTCAAAGCTAAAGTGAGCAATAATTACGAAACTAAAGAATTGAAAAATTAATGAGTTTTGTATAGCGCTGGCCGTGTTTGTTGAAAAATTAGAAAGTGTCTATTTGTTTGCAAACTGTTTCTTGGCTGATCACATCATGGATAATTTCCCCCCAAATTCTAGGGATTTTTATTCCTTTTAAATTCAAGCTACAACAAACCGGATAACCTTTATCCTCCCAACCAACTTTATAGATACGCATCCCTTCGGTGGATTTAATCTCATCTTATCCATTGACACGTGACATTACTAAAACTGCAATTTATGGTGTAAACAACATGTTTGACGTTTCTCTATGTTTTGTGCTTATTTTAATAAACACTATTAACTTATAAGGACGAGTGGGGGTTATCCATCTCTACTGGAATTTGGAAGGAGCAAAATTTACACCATCTCTATTGCCACCAAACCCTATGATACTATAAAATATAAAAAAAAAAATTACAGTAAAAAATAATAATATTATGAAAGAAAGAAAAAAGAACTAGTAATTACAAAATAAGAAAGTTTTTATAGTGAATTTTCATTCTATCTCCATTTTTTAGTTGGGTTCACTTAAAAATGTAAACAAATAAAATAAATTAAAATGAAATGGGCTGGGCTGGGCCCAAAACTCTTTTCTTTGGGGTTAAAGGAGTATGCAATTATGTAGGCCAAAAACTTAATCCATTTCTTTAATTAAGTTAGTTGATTAATTAATCAGATTAATTAATTAGGTTAATTAAATTTAATTGATTTTAATTAATAACCTTAATAATTTTTAATTAAATTTAATCAAGGATTATTTGGATTAATTAAGGTTTGATTAAGTTAATTAAAATTACTAATTAAGATAGTTAATTATTTTTAATTTTCATTAATCAAGATTCATTACTTTAATTAGAGTTTAAGTTAAAATTTTTTCTAACCTCTATTCTACATACGCAAGGTGTAATAATAATAACTACTATTTTACTGTTGAAATTGTGGTATTGCATTTGCCTTTTAATAGAGCCCTTAATGAAGAAAGCATATAAAGTAATTGATTAAATTATTGGTAAAAAGACAATTTCTCACTCATACAGTCAAGGTTGGAACTCTCATTCCTCCTCCCTATCCCTCTCCCATAAAAATTGCAACTAGTTAGCCTACCCTTAAAAAAAAGAAAAAAAAATCGATAGCTAATCAACTCAATTGGACCATGTCAAGATATATCATTCATTTCAAAAGAAACTATTGATACTCTATCAAGGTGTAATGATGTGTAACATTATTTGTAATGTAAACATTCTTATAAGCTAAGGCATTCTTTGTAATGGTATGCACAACTTTTTAAAGTCTTCTTGGAGTTTCTTGACATGTTAACAATAATTATGTCTTTGCTATTGGAAAGTGATTATTCATTTTGATAACATTTTGTTTTGGGAGATAACTAAGCATGCAACTGAGTGTATAAAACTTACACTAAATGAAGAAGACCTAATTTTTTCCTAATTTGATCAACTGTATTGAACTTTTTCTTTTAACTCTTCTTGGGACGTAGTTATCATTTTTTTTCTTCATATGTTTTTGTTCCCTAAGAACATTGCGAGCTTTTTAAGTTAGTTAAGTTCATCTACGTAATTCTTAGTATATACCTGTTATCTCTCTCTTCCCCTTTTCCCTATCAACTCCTGCCAACATATTCTTTTAAGGTTGTCTATATCAATTATTCTCTTAAAAAAAATAAAAAGAGATAACAATGTTAAAAGTTTGTAATGATGATAATAAATAAAAAGGTCAAGGAAAATAACCAAATTTTCTATACTATTTAGGGCTTTATCATGACACATTTTAAAAGATCAAAGAAAGCTCAAAGTGATGGAACATTCAACATATCACAGTTTTGTATTGTCTTTACAGAAAATTTGCATCAAATAAAAAATAATTAAAAATACAACAAAACATACAAAACTTCTGTCTCTTTTTCTTTTTTCTACATTATACAAACATATATATATATATCCACACACAGAGAAAGTTGTTCAATAAGTTATATTGCATTCTTAAGAAATATTTGATTTAGCTGAACAAAAATGATTCTTATGAGTAGAATAAGAACCTGCAGTACTTAAAAAATCCAACTACATAGCACTTTTGCTGCATAGGTACAAGTTAAATAGTATTTGCACTTGGATGCTTTCATTTGTTTTGGCTCCTTTATGTTAATTTCTCCCATGTCCAATGCTATCCATGCAGAACTCCTTACACATGTTCAAATCATCTCTAATCGAATTGTATTTGAAAGGCAAAAAAAAAAAAAAATCATTTATATACAATTGTAAGTGATAATATTACAAATATAATAATAAAAATCTAGTTAAAGGAGAAAGAAAAATATACATGTTGAGAAGGAAAATTAATTTGGCCCCAAAGATTGGGGTAAGATTAATTGTGAAATCATGTGCTACATCATGGAGAAAAAAAATTGAGTTATAAGAATATAACATATATTACTAAAATATAATAATATTAGTTATAGAATGCTTTAATTTCTAATGCATTTACAATTTCAATAATTATGCATGTACCAAAAAAATTGGGACTTAAGAAGAGAAAACACCAAACCAACCTGATTTTTTTTAAGAGAGTTTTTAATTGGATATATTGTAATCAAGTATTTTCGCATTTATTCAAATAAAAAAAAAATTAAAAAATAGGCTAAACTACAATATTATACTATTGTAGATAAATAAAAATATAAAAGTAACTGTCAACAATAAAGAATAATCAATATTGAATCATAGCTTAACACTAAACTAACATTAAAGTAATAAAAAATATGCTTGGGTGCATAAGCAATTATGGAAGGAAAATTTTATTACTTTTCTTTAAGTTTTTTTCTTTTTAGAAGTATTAATCAAATTCAAATTATTGGATATAATCAAATCACAATTGACAAGCAAAAATATATATGGCCTATGGGGGAGCATTAAACTAACAAAAGAATTGATATGTATAGTCAATTCTTTGTGGATTGTCTTTAGTTTATAGAAAACACAAATAATGAAAAATATATTGATATTAAAAATTAATCTAATAAATAAATAGTAACTAAATATAAATTTATATTTAACATGTATATAAATATTTATTTATAAATATATTATTAAATAAGATTGAATAGTTAATCTTTATCATTAAATGATTGTCCTCACCTCATAGATAAATCCATTCTCCAAGTATGTTCCTATAGTCTTCTAATTAACAACCCTCTTAAGTTTTCAAGAACCAAATATTAGGTTATAACACAAAGCTAAATTAGTAGCAAAATAATGAAAAGTAAATATAAAGGCCAGTAAAAGATACCCAACTTGATAGATAGATAGCATTTTATGGATTGTCAACAACTCTAGTAGCTTGGTTTGAATAAGTAAAATTGTAGAATAGATATCTTTGAATTAGTAAATACTTAGGACAAAATAATTGATAACCTATAATAAAAATTTATTTTAGAACAATAATTGTTTTTATTTGTTGAGGAAAAACCTAGCATATCTTTTGTCTTAATTGCACTTTTGATCAAAGAATAAATTATCCACCCCTCATTATCTTCATAGAAGTTGTAAAAATTTAATAATGAAAAATCAATATGAAAAAATGGAGATTTTTTTTCAAATGCAAACTTATCTTGTTTCAATCAGGGAGGATAAGAGTTTAAAGTGAAAATTCAATACTCTCTATAATTAAATAGAAATATATAGCTAAACATATGAATAATTTAAATAACAAAACACTTACCTAATGTAGTTGACCTTTGAAAGTGATTATAATAACCGCTAAAAACACCAATTTAAAATTGGTAAAAACAAAACAAACCAAAAGAAAAATATCAAGATATAGTCGATTACAATGATAATCAACATTTAAACAATCAAGAATTGAAGAAACTATAACCATCAATTTTTGAGGCACAAACTATGTCTTGTATCAATGAAAAAACAATCAAATATTGAAGTAGTATTGCATTTGCTACTAAAAAATATGTTCCAAAATCTAGAGGAAGAAATGTTGTAGAGAAATTGGTAGAGGGATTTGAAATTGAAATCAAAATCACAATTAAAACTTTAGTAATGTGTGTGCTCTAGAACAACATACTTGAAGCAATGAACAAACTCGCAAGCCTATTTATATAACTTGTTACCATTAATAATTACTTCAAAACATCCATGATAGAAAAATTAGAAAACCACCCATGTAAAAAGTGGAAGAACCCCTCTTACAAATACCAAATGGAAAGAACAGATAACAAAAGGAAACAACCCACATTTGGCTTTGAAATCCACTTCAAGAGACACCACTAAGTCCACCACCTGTCCAATCAAAACAGTGGGGAAAAGATTGAAGGGATTTCAAAGCTAGATCGAATTAAATTAATTAATTATGGGCTTAGGAAAAATTGTTGCTAAGTTGATTGTGGGTTAGGCACAAATTATTTGATTAAGTTTTTGAGCTCTAAAATTATGTTCTTGAGTATTTTTAGGGAGAATTTTAAGGGTTTAATTTTCTAATTCTAAAGACATCTAAATCTCAAGTCAACAAGTAAATGATACACTCTCTATTTTAATTTGGTCCCCACCTTTTCAAAGTTGTGTAATTAAATTTGTAATTTGCAATTTGTTTAAAATGCACCCAAAGGTCTTAAATTTGTACAATTTAGTACCTCTATTTTTTGTTTGTTTCAATTTGACATATTCATTTCCAATTACATCCAATCAAACCTAAAATTTTGACTTTTCACATATTTGTCCATGCACAATTAACCTATTTCACTTAAGGCCATTAATTTATAAAGCCATTTTAAGCTAAAATAAACTCTTTAAATTTAAAGTATGTAATTGTGCTTTTGTCATAACTCAAATTTTTATTAAAAAAAAATCAAAAATATAAAAATATGAAAATTTTCCTTTTCTTTGACTAATATATCTTTATTTTGTTTCAGGTGCTACATGCAAAAAGAAATTGGAAAATTCAAGAAGAAGAAAGAAGGGACTCAATTGAAGAAACTAAAAGTTGGAGGGGTGAAGTTTATCAAAATGAATTTACAAACCCAAACCCAAAGCCCATCAAAACCCAAACCAAAATTACCCAAAAACCCAAACCCAAAACCCATCAAACCCAAACCAAAATTACCCAAAAACCCAAACCCAAAACCCATCAAACCCAAACCAAAATTACCCAAAAACCCAAACCCAAAACCCATCAAAACCCAAACCAAAATTACCCAAACTCAAACCCAAACCCATTTAACCTAAACAAAGAAAAGTGAAATAAAAAAATGGATCTGGAACTTTCTTCCCCACGCACCCGGCCTTCTCCCTGCTGCTGCACCGAACCCACCCCTGCTCTCGCACCAGATCCCCTCACCCTGCACTGAGCCCCGCGCCCTAGCGCCCTAAGCCCGCGCCCCAGGCCCTGCTGCGCCCCCTTGCTTGCTGCACCTGCGCCTGCGCCTGCGCCCCTGCTGCGCCCCCTTGCTTGCTGCACCTGCGCCTGCGCCTGCGCCATGCTGCACCCGTGCCTGCGCCCTGCTGCACTGAGCCCGCCTGCTGCACCAGCTATGCACGCCCGAGCCATCATCGCCCCTCACACGCCCGGCCTTGCTCTACCCTACCCCCTGCCACACCTGCGCCTCTGCTGCTGCACCGAACCAGCCCTGCACTTACCGCCTGCACCGTGCCTTCTGCGCCCAGTTCCCAGCAATCATACACCCCTACACGCCTGAGCCCACTTCCAGCAATCATACCTCCCCTACACACCAACCCAGATCCCCTTTGCTCTGCTCCCCCTGCCCTGCACCGAGCCCATACCCCTAGCCCTGCTACCTGCGCCCCTACTGCTGCACCCGAGCCTGCAACCGCCTGCGCCCCTGCTGCCTACGCCCTTGCTTGCTCTGCACCCGAGCCTCGCTCTGCACCAGATCCCCTTGCCGCCTGCTGCGCCGAACCCACGTTGCTTGCACGCCTGCTCTCTGTGCCAGCATCATGACCCTGCACCGAGCCTTGCTGCACCCCTGCTGCTCTGCCTCTGCACGCTACAGCAGCTCCAGATAAATTAGCATTAATATTGATTGACAGAGCAAGGCTTTTTTTTATAATTAATTTTAGCTTTATTTTATCTTTTATTTGGGTATATATATAGAAAAAAAAATCAGATTGAAAGGGGGGGTTGGTTGATTTTGGGTCTCGTTGTTGGGGAGTTTCGTCTGAGTTTTTGAGAGCAATAGAAGGGGATTTTTGGAGCTCAGTTTTTGGGGGTTCTCTGGCTGATTTTCGTGTTCTTCATTTTGGGAGTTGGAAGGAGTTTTCTTTTGGTTTTGAGTTTGGTGTTGACGGCAGAGGAAAGGGAATTTTTTCTGCTAGAGGGAGCCTGCTTTGTGAGAAGGGATTGTCAAGGTTGCAAGAGGGATTCTATTTTCTGGAGTGGCTATACTGAGGTATACCTCTGAACAGAGAATTTTTGTTAGGAAAATGGTGAAAGAGATGGTGGAAGCTTGATCCCGTGGGTGGGATCCCTTCCATCAGATCCTGATCCGTTTTTCTTTCAAAAATTCGCCGTGTTTGTCTTTCTGTGGGTGTTTATTTATTTTTATCTGATGTTAAGATTGAATGTGTTTTCTTGAAAAAATGAATGAAAAGCCAAAAGAAATTATCCAGTTCTTCTTTATCAGATGAATGTATTTTTATTTTATTTTTCTGTTGTTGTTTTTTTTGGATTAGATGTATATTCTGGAGGAACTTTGTTTGGAATCCGATGAACTCTGGTTTTCTGGTTTTGTCTGCATGTTTTTAATCTTTCTTTGCTTATTTTCTCACTTGAATTCTGTTTGTGGGTTGGGTTGACCCGACCCAATCCAATAAGTTAATTAAAAAAAAAAACTGAGGAAGGTTAAAAAATAAAAAAAATTAATTAATAATATAAAATTATTAATTAATTAAAAAAAGTTAGTTTAATTTATAATTAACGAAATTAATTAATTTTAATTAAAATAAATTAATCACATTTATTGAGTTTGATATGAGATGATTAGATTTATTTGATTAGATTTATTTAGTTATCTCAATTGATGATTAGCAAATATGATTAATTAATTTTAATTAATTTTAATTAATATTAAGTTAATTATTTAATTAAGTTAGTTTATTTTGATTAATTAATTTTAATTTTCAATTAAGTTTAATCTTGGTCAAAGTCAAAGTAATCTTTTATTTTATCTCAATTTCATCCACAAGTTTTTATGATTTCTAAAGTTTCAAATCTTTTCAAATCAGTCTTTTATGTTTTCGAATTTAATCAAATTAGTCCCTTTAATGTTATTTGTGCTTATGATGCATGCTTGTTTTTGATTTTGTCCATTTTAGCCCAAAAATTAAAAAATGTTTCAATTTGGTTTACCCTTCTTTCAAACTTACCTATTTAAGACTCAAATACAAATATAATTAATAAGTTGAATCAAAACCTCAATTTTAAAGTATACAACCATGTTTAAATGGAGGATTATGAGGTGTGCATATACCTTTCCTCACTCCTAATCTAACTCTCGAACTACGATCTCTGCACAGACTCATTTTAGGTGACTTTTCCCACTTTATAATTTGGACGAGTGGCGACTCCCTTCTTTTTTATATTTTCACACTTTTAATCCCTTTTTAAGTGGTCGTCAACAGCTTTACACGAAAATTATGAGGTACACATGTTTTTTCTCACTCCTAACTGTACCTCAAATTATAATATTTAATAGATCAATGATGACCTACTCCACCTTTATTTAAGTAACAACTTTGATTTTTTCAATCATTTAAAACTTAATTTTTCAAATCAAATTTTATTTTTGAAATCTCAAGTGGGGCATCAATAGAAAGAAATTTGTTCATATTAAATCTCTTCAATATTTTGTTTACATAATGTGATTGATAAACAAAAAGTTCATTTGATAAGTGCTTGATTTGCAAGTTGAGACAAAATTTTGTTATTCCAAGATCCTTCATCTTATATTTTTTCTTTAAATAGTCAACTACTTTTTCAAGTTCTTCAAGTATTTTAAAGATTTTTAAATAATTAACATATACTAAAATGGTGGCGAAACCAAGTTTTAATCTATTTGCAAAGAGGTATGAACTAATGAGATTATTTTCGTATCTTTTTTTTTAAGGAAATATTTATCATGATAGTTGTACTACATTTGTCCTAATTGTTTCAATTCATACAATCCATACAAATATTGACACTAAATTTTATTGAAAATATCTCTTTTGGCACAAAGTTGTATGTTCCAAACATATCTTAAGTTTGTAAAGACTTTCATGTAAATACAACTATCAAAAGACTCATATAACTAAGCAATTATAACATCCATAAGATGCATATAAAGGCCTCTAGAAACTATTAGACATTTCAAAAATTTGAATGTAATTGCATTTATCATAGGAGAATATTTATTTAAAACCTTGAGTTATAAGTCTAGTTTTATATGTTATAACTTTATATTTTTTTCATTTTATTTTCTCATGAATACCCACTTATAGCCAAGGGACCAAGGGGACAGGGGGCCAAAGGGCTTTACATTATTAGGTGTTTAAATTACTAGTTTAAAAATTTGCCTTTTTTCTAATGATTTAATATGTCTAAATTTTCTCTTTCATTTTGATAAACCACTTCTTTGTTGAAATTATTTAATAAATTTTGGTTCAAAAACTTTATTTTCATTAATTATATTGTTCACTATTGCATATGTAAAAACCATAATTAATAACAACATTATTTTGATTCCATTTTATTTTAAAGGAAATTATTGAGATCTCATCATTATTTTAGGGGTGTTTGGTTATTGAGGTGTTTCTTATCAAGTAGAGTAACAATTGTGTCTTCACCCTATCATGTTATAGCCTATTGGATTAGTATGGTAGTCTAGCAACTGTGATAGCATGAAAATGCCCACCTTAAAATATATATATATATATATATATATAATATTACTAGCATTATATATAGTATTGATTGTCAAAAATAAAAAAAAATCAAATAAAATAAATAGAAATTATATTATTACTAAATAGATTAGTTTTTTTAATGTCATTGGTCTCACATTTGTGTTTTTGTTAATGAAAATTGATAAGGAAAACAAAATTAACCTATTGATTGAAAATTAAATGCTATAATTGACTTAATTTTAAAATTCAAGATTTATTGATGTAAATTTAATATCATTCCTACATTTCAATTATAAGATTTAAAAATTAACATAATATTGATTTTATTATAATTATTTTTAAGTATAAGACACCAGCTAAAGAATTTTTTAGGGTTGGGTGTTGGTTTGGTGATTGAACCAAATTTTTTTTATAATATCTACATAACATAATCAAATTTAAAATTTAAGTTTGAAAATTTAATTTTATTAATTAAATTTTTTTGTTTGATTCAATCAAGTTTAACAAAATTGTTCGAATTTTATAAAAATAAATTAAATTCTAATTTTTATATTATAAAATTAAGTTCAATTTGGTTTTTGGTTAAAATGAAAATTTTTTATTAATTCAAATAATTTAGTAGCTGTTTTCGATTTTTGTTATTTTAATGTCATAACCATAATTGAATCAAAATTTAAGTTTGGTTAAATTTGTTTTAAAATCAAATTAACCATTTAATTTTTTAACCAAACTTAATATTTCCTATTCAATTAAAAAATTTAATTATTTCTATTTTAATCCAAAAAAGCCTAACCCTAGAATTTTATTAAATTTACTAACTAAATTTACTAGTGGTGTGAATATGTATTTTATTATTGTAAAAACTATATTAATTTTTAATAATTATTTTTGAAAAGATATTAAATTTATCTATAATTATAAAAATATATAAAATATTTTTATTTTTTGATGTAAAGGAGCAATGGTAACCTTACTACTCTAGTATAATGGCTTTAGGTTTATCTATATCCAATGTATCATTAGTAAGCAAAATAAGCAATATTATATAGGGGTTCTTCACACATGTGTGCCTTTATTCAAATTATAAAAATTTGAGGCTAGGTGATTAGTGAAAGCATTGATTTCTTTAGAACATGGTTCAGCTAACATTGCTAAGATCTTATATTTAGCTCTCTATACCATTGAATCAACAATGTATATGGACCCATTGGCCTCTTTCTTCTGGTTAACAAGGTGCAAGACAAGTAACGAATTACATTCAACAATTATATTTCTACAACCTTGATTCCAAACAATCTAGTATCACATCCACAAAACAAATAATTTCGCTCAAATAATCCCTTCTCTCGTAAGATAAACACCAAAACTAAAACATTATGAACCACCCTCATCTTAACAAACACCCCCAACTGCTAAGTCGTTAGGGTTATGTTTTGCTAAATCATCAACATTGAGTTTAACTATTACAATGGTGGTGGAATCCATCTAATGAATTGTTCTCTTTTCAACTAGCTATTAGTGTTCTTTTTAAAGTGATGTGCTACTCTAGCATAATATAGGTGAGGTATATATAAATTAGTACAAACCCATTACTTATTTTCTTCAAAAGGTTGTTTTTTTACCTCTTAACCAAATGAACCAATGAGTTACAATGAATAACATAACCCAACTTATGCTATACAAATTCGAGACATTATACATTATAAGATTGAATCTTATTCATTCCTTATCGCTAAAACTGTAATATCCCAAAATTTGGTGATATTTTAGCAATAAGTAAGGGACTTATTTGAGGGAAAATATTGTTTTGGGGCTTAATAGTCAAATTTTCAAAAGTTGAGGGACTAAAAAGAAAGGAAATTAGGATAAGGAT